TTTTTCAGAGTTCACAAAACTCAATCAAGTTATCTAATCTTGAAACAGTTGGCTCAAGCATATCTAGCTGAATTGATCAAGTATTTAGTTAATCTCCACCAGCTCTTGTAGCAATAGGCTAGAGCCACGAGATCGGTGATAGACTATAACCCCAGACGCTTTAGACTGTAAAACCATATTGGCAATAGATAAATCTACTAACAGCTATAACAATATTAAGTCAAAAAGAATTTGGTCATAAATATCTTATCTTCTGACAAATTTCAGCCTTCGGTTCCTACATTCTACCAATATTGAGAGTATACCCTTAAGATTTATACTCGTACATTTAAGTATTGCTCATAATATACGAGCATACATACAAATTCACACATCATCAGATTGGACAAAAGGAACTAAGTGCTGAAGCAATGAGCAGAAGTCAAGTTTGAAGTCAACTTAAGTGTGCAGAACCAAAAAGGAAAAAGACTAATATGGGTGTGTTTGAGATTCCTCTTGGAGCATCTGAAATTCGGAATCCCTAATCTAATTCGAAAATTACAAATGCAGCTGGTAAAAATATCAAATAAATTAACAACTAAAAATAAGACTTTATGTGCTTGATTCCCAATCTGACAACTTTCGATCTCTCTTTCATATACAGATTTAGGTTTTCCAATAAAAAAATCGAAGTCAAAATGAAGTCAGTCATCAACACAACTTAGTCAAATTTCACTTCACCAAAAACCAAATCAGTAAATCGAGAAACAGATTAATCGATCAGGATCCAGAAACCAAACTAAACCAAACCAGATCCAACAAATCAAAATCCAACTTCGACATACTCATAATCAAAAGCATCTTCACATAAAAGAAACAATAATTCCAAAATTAAATATAAGAAAATGAAAATGAGCAAAAATTAATCACCTGTCGTATTATCAGACCCCCATAGAAAATCTCATACAAACTTTTCCACAGACTTAACCAGTAATGAAACACAGAAAAAATGCTTTATTCATACACACACGCCAAAACGCACTTAGTGTGAAATGTGAATGAGGTCTTTATATAAAACTCACAATAATTACTTAATCTGTTGAATGATCTATATAACGTGACGACAATCAGATATTTTGACCTTTTCAGTCTTGGACTCTTGGTAGTCTGTAACGAGAGCTATACGGTGTCGTGCACTGTTACGCTTAAGTTTTTCTACGGTAACAGCAAGTTTGAGATCCAAAATATGACAGACGTATTTTGGCTTTTGGATCTGATGTTTTTGGGTAGATATAGCACGTGTCTATATATCAGGTCCCTTCGGTAAAATGTTAAGTGACTATACCGTTCTATCCCTAATATTACTGCACGTGCAAGTCAACCAAAGAAACGGCACCGTTAGCATATTCAGTGTAACGCATTAATTATGAAATGATAACTTGATAATTGCAATTTGAGTTATAAATTATAGATTTACTGTGCAGCTTTTCTTTTGGAAATTTTGTTAAAATAAGTTCATGTTGATGGTACTTGCAAATAATAATTAATTGCACATGCTTATAAAATATCGTTATATCTTGTTAAATGTGGAATATGGTCTTCATAAAGCTATAGATAGAATGAAATATCCAAATTGATATAATAGGGAAAAAATCTTATAACTTATTACGTTATCACTTTTAGAAGAGTAAACAATTACAGGATAAAATGATTGTCTAATTCAGCCAACAAACTACGTTTGAACTAGAATATCTCAACTATTAAGTAACAATTCAACTCAAATTAATAATACTTTGAAGTCATTTAAAAGAGCTCCATCTTAGTTCGGAAATACTACATGAGAAAACAAAGACTAAAAATAGAAAATTAACACTCTCTGAAACTTTTAGAAAACAACATATATTTTCTAATCTCACATTTGTGTGTTAAAAACTAGAGGAGTGTCAAAAAATTGTTGTGTATAATGTTTCATTTATTTTTTATGATATATGGTTAGTTTGAGATAATAAATTTTATAATATCTTAACTGGTATGCTAATTAACATGCAGTGAATTTTTGAAAAGACATGAAGCAAGTCATTAACTTTGAGTCAATATCGGACAATTTTTTCCATATTTATCTAGAAATTTGGTGGGTGCCAAAGCCTAATAGTCATTCCATGCGTTTACCGATGACCCAAATTCAACTATTTAATCTTTCTTTCTTTTAGTCTTAATTTTTGGGCTAAAAATTAATGCATTTGTAAGGGGCCCAAGACCACTAAATAATAGTGCCGATTAGACAAATATTAGAATAATTGAGGACGTCCAAATACACACAAAAGAGTTCCCAAAATTAGTGGGCTTGTTTGTTTGGTGTTTGAGAAAGTACTTTGGGAGAGTAGTGGATGTTTGTGAAATAATTTTGATTTGCGTAATGTTGTTTGTTTGAGTTTTGAGAGAGTGGTTTGAGAAATAAAGTAGGTGTAGGTTTTTTTTTTTTTGAAGAGATAAGTTGTAGGTGTAAGATGTGTAAGACTTTATGTCAAATCATGTTTGTTGTGAGATAAATTGTGTAAGAGATATGTTACTTTATGTCAAATCAGAGTAGAGTTTGTATAGGTTTTCTTTAGAGATAAAAAAGTTGTTGTTTGTTTGGCTTTTGAGAGAGTAGTTTGAGAAAATAAAGTTATGAAAATTTTATTTCAGAAAGTAGAAAACATGTTTGTTTAGCATTTCCCAAACATGAAAATAATTTGGGAAACGCCAAACAAACAGGCCCATAGTTTTCCAAAGAGAGAAAATCAAACACAAAATATTATGATATCATGTGAAATATATGGAATGGCTATACGACACGAGATTAGGTCAGCCTAACTTGTCATTAACCATTTGTTCCATGATTGGACGTTCACAAAATATTCGTGGCTACCATCTGGGTAGCTACCATATGTCATGTTAGGTCCCTTTTAGGGACACTTTTACATAAAAAGTGTCCCTAAAACCCCCCTAACAGGGCGGATGGTGGCTACCTCAGAGGGTAGCCACGAATATTTGAATTTTTTTTATTAGTTTATCAATAGAATATCTATTTTCAAAGCCAAATTTTTTAAATTTAGTTTTATGATTAAAATTTATAACGAAATGGATGCATAATGATTAGATTGTGTGAGTGAGTCGAGTGGAGAGTTGAATAATACATAGTTTTAAGTTTACGCTAATTTTACTTATTTGAAACTCTCTAAAATTGGTTTGTGTGTAAAAATTGAGCTCAAATGAGTAGTTTGATATTTTTACAAATATTTTTGTTATTTTAGAGTATATTATTGGATTAAGTTTCACTCGATTTTCAAATATTGTCACATGTTAAATATTATTCAAATTTATGTATTACATATAATGAAACAAATTCAATTAACTAAATTAAAAATTGAGAGTGGTTTGGTTTTCATTCCTTCAAGATGTAAAATGTCTAACAAAGTAAGAAGCATTGCCACACACAAAAAAAAAAAAAAAAAAGGTTGGAGTTGGGGTAAAATGTATTAAAAAGTAGGTGAAGTTGGGTCCCAAGTCCATTACCAAAAGTGGACTTGCAAGAAAATGCTAAGTCAAGTAGTCATGACATCCATAAAACTAAAAGTTAGTCCAAAGTTAAAGTTGGGATTTTCGTGAAAAATAAAGCTTGCCGTACGCAAAGGGTTTGTTCGGTGACTAATTTAGAGTTAAATTCAGAAGGAAGGATAATGAAATACATGGTATTGTATATATATTACATGAAAATAGAAAATAAATTCAAATCTTTATCACACCCCATTATTATACCCTTATATTATTCGATCACTAAACATTCCATATTATAATTATCATATGTCTGAGATTGGACGAATTCAGATCTTTAAATCTCTGAATTTAACGGATATGCGGACAACAATTTGAATGCCGTAGGAGCTTACCCTTTAAAAAAATTCACTATTGTGTATTGTCTACATCTACAACAAATTTATAACAAAACATAATCAAATCTTAACTCACGAGATCAAACCTTATGCAATAACACTGGACTCAGTATCATGCGAAATGATACTGATTTTCTATAAACATTCAATTTCAATAAGAAACTGTAATCAAGGATTGATTTCTTTAACGTTTAAAATATTACAATTAGAGCCCAACACACCTAGATCAATCAATCAAACATCAATCGGGGCAATCAACCTAGTACCAAGTTCAATAAGGGGTGCGAGAAATTCTATACTAAATCTGGTTCGTTCAAATCAAAAGTAAATATAGAGAATTTCTTTGGGATTTTATAAAAGTCATAAGAGAGTGACTAATCATAAACCAAGTACAATACACTTGTCATGTGATTGAATAGGTTTGACCAAGTCAAGTCTATACAAAATATTATTATGTAAATGTAAATATTTTGTTTATGAAGTAATTTGTAGATTGAAACAAAAAAGAGTATTAGATTTTTTTCTTGAAAAATCAATCGACTATAAAAGGAATATAGTAAAACATTAAAAAATATTTCTAGAACCGCAAGACTGTACCGTACCGTATCGAAATCGAACTATACCTGGTGCATTGGTATGGTACTCAAAAATCCAATTTGATATTGAATATTTAAAAAATCGCAACAATCAATATAGTATTATTTAGCTAATAAAATCACAATCGTACCATATACATCCCAAAGTTCAAATTGGTCATTTTCGAGAATAGCATTACAACATTTTCACAGTGGGTAAATCAACATTTGATCAATAATGAACCGTTGTGGACCTATCTAAATACAATTTTATCAGTAATTTTGATAATGAAGGGAAATTATTTCTAGATAACATATTAGAAAAACAGGACTTGAGAGTATATGCATTAAAAGTAGGACCACTAGCCCACAAACCACCCATCTGAACAAATTGACCGCGCCCACCAGATGAATGACCCATGCAATTTGAACCCAGCACAACGTATCTATGCAAATACACAACAACAAAAAAAAGCGCCTAGAACCATCCAAGTTACTCGAGCAATCAAAAGGGACCCAGGTGGGCTCGAACCACCATCCTCTCAAAAGAACTTAGTCAATTGAGCGCTCTACCATTTTTGAGCTTATGGATCCATTCACCAAATCAACTTTGACGACATATTTTTATACGTTCGAATTAAAAAATAGGTCACAATTTCAAGAATAGTTTTTTCTTGATTATAAAAGAAAAATTCAATACATTTTTTACCTCATGTTATGACATAACTTTGTAGTCTTTGTTTAGAGATTTAAAACTACCATCAAAATTAGTTACCGAAAATTAATAATATCAAACGTTCAACTTATGTGAACAGTAGTTTTAAAAAAAACATAGAATGGACATCTAAAAGAAGAGTAAACTATAAAACAACATGGTGTATGACTAGCAAAAGTCCACTCTAAATTTACAACTGAAAAAGTTTAGCAAGTTCATGTGCCCCAGAAAAAACATAATCATTCAAATCAGACTAGAACAATGCTATTTTTTGAAAAAAACTAGCAACTATTTCAAAAACGACAAAAGCTGTAACTTTAAATACTTTGAACTTTACACCAAAAAATGTTGGTAATTGAGAATTATTGTGCCAAATTATTATATATCTATTAGATATTTTAACATTGATATCCCTTAAAAATTGCGATTGAGAGTTAGTGGAGTGGTACCAAATCATAAGTAAAAAGAAAAAAGAGAAAAGTGATTATACGAGCTAATCAAACCATTGAACTAAGAAAAAAAGAGATCTTAGATTTTATAATGGATTCAAAACATAAAAATGAAAAACTTGGAGAGGTAATTATGGTTTTAGAAAATGAAATCAAAGGCACAAGTACATTTTCTTCAATCTTAAATACATTGAAGAGAGTAACACGTTTCTTTAATCTTAAATAAATTGCAGAAACTAACATTTCTTCGAAAGCATACAGATTATTAAGGTGGGGCAGTCTTTAGCTAATAATTTGTAGCATAAGGTTACAACAAGCTATCATGAGCAATTGGAAAATGACAATTTCAATATAAACTGAAATAATAAAACCGAATAAGAGTAAATAATAATAATTACGATGCAATAACCGGATAATTATTCATCTCTGCCTGAGGGCACCAAATTAAAACCCATACCACAATACCTCTTGTTGCGACGGAAATTTTTTCTTCATATGCAGGTTGATAAGCTACTCCAGCAGTAAAACATCTACAGATCAAATTTATCTCCCACGATAAACCATTGACTAAAAGCTGGATTAATTCAATCTGTGTTGAGCATATACCCAAAAGAAAGATTCAAATATAGAAGTTATGATCATATGATCAGCACTTTCATTCTATGTATAATAATCAGAAAAATGCCTTTTACAAAAGGACCAATCACAAGCCACAGAATTGCGGAAGAAATGTAGCAAATAAAATTTCCAGGTTATCCACTGAAACTATAAACTTAGCAAATGGGAAACCTGCACGTAAAAAGGAAGGACGCCAGTAGTCAAGAAATAATCTTCAGGACAATGCCAGCCTACAAAAACCGTATCAATAATCCCCAGCAATATTTATAATGATCATCAGCTCTGAAACTCCATTATCTAGGATCTACAGAGATCACAAATATGACACCCACTGTGGAATAAGTATCTCAACATTAATATGTTCTAAACTAATAATAGATACATTTCGCATCAGTCATCTGTCATTCTATTTGAGAGATGGCTGCAGCAGACACATCTGTCATAGTCCTTCAATCCGGATAGACTCGTCACTTGTGACCATTGGCTTTGGAGAAACACGACTGATCAAGTTCCTATCGAAACAGCAATAGTCTGTATATGGTACACTATTTTCAAATAGGCAGTCATCTCACCAGTGTTCAGGAGCAAGGCAAATCCAACCACTTGATCATAAAAGAAATCAAAACTGAGTGACACATCCACCACAACCAATGTGATACTTGCCTCCACATACAAACAGAAGATGAAGGCCACCAATCTAACACACTTTACCCCTTTTCAAGACTACTTATAGCCATAAATACACAAAATTACATTCACAGCATAATTTAACATGGTAGCATATTGTGTAACAAAATATAGGAAAAAAATAAGAACGGGATTCGGATGAATTCTCAACTGAATTCAAGCAATGCTCATCCAAAATGACAATTGGTTACACTGTTGTGCAGGATCTCATAATTGGAAAGCTGAGAAATTAATACAATGCGGTGGACAGCAATTCTTACAGTGAGTAATAAATACCTCATATATACTTGTGAAGTAGATATATTATGAACATAACATTTGACCGACGAATTAGTATGTTTATTTCCCAACTTCCTATTGTTTAATTCAGCTTATTACTAAGATATCGACATTAAAAAAGTGAGAAAATAACATAGTATGCGATTAGATAAGACTCTTCTAGTATTTTGGATTAATTTGAAGTAAATGTTCAAAACAAAGTTCTAATGTAGCAGTCAGTAAATGAAATTTTATTAGCTTAGTGTTGCATAAGTGACACAGCTAAAACAAAATTACTTAAAAACATTACCAAATGGATAACTGAGAAAATATGAAGAAACATTGCATTATCTTAGCAACCTCTTAAAGGCTAATCTTTCCTCATTAGATAAGATGAAATAAATCTTGATACTTAGAAATAATTATTGTTAAAAAACTTGACCTATAGATTCAGATATGCAGATTGAGGAGTGTAAATTAGTACCTCTTGTGTAGTTGTGGATTCAGAAGACTCAAACCATCGATTTTGCTTGCATGTACTTTCCTTGCAAATATTTGTCATGCTTTGGCCTAGAATGGATTTTGTAATTGTGTTGAACTGTGATCATGTCATTACGGTTAACCCATTCAAGACCAAACAGATGGAACTGATTGCTGAACTTGAACTGAGTTTGGATCATGATGGGGCAGAAAAAAAAAAGAACAGAACATAACAGAAAAGGGCACCACACACAGAGGGGAGAGCCGAGCAAAACCCCGTGCCATCTCCCCTCAAAACAAAAAGTAAACCTTTTATTAAGCTGTTGACCTGCCATGCAAGCGCACCCGCCATGGCAAAGGTCATTTAGACAACATAACCTCCTTTTAACAAGCAAACACCGCTCTTTCACTCTTTTTTTACATTATTGTGACCTCACGGACATGTGCACTACGTTCATAAAAGTTCAAATAAAGTGTGGATTGTAACATAAAATAAATAACAACCGATAGTTTGAAACTTTTCAAATCATCAAAAACCTTGTGTCCATATGATGTCTATGTAAGCAGGTCCCACTTGCAATCCCTCTTTGACTTCTCAAAATCCCTCCTTGAACTAAACAAGTATTGAGTATTGGATCAATCCAGATATCTGCATAACTCCAGACAACTGAATCTGCAGCTTACTCCTAGAAGCTTGATCTATGAAGAATATAAATAAAACGAATAAATAAAGTGGTAATTGGAAATTGAGATAATTGAGGAAAATACGAAAGACTCAAATGAAAGGGGATGAGATTGAAATCATATAAAACTCACCTCAAGATCTGTAACTGATTACACAACGATCATCGTCTACAGCTGAAAATAATCAAGGCATAAATCACTCCTGCAGAGGGGACAGTCAAATCATCAACGTAAAAGCAAATGAACATCGACTTAAAAAAAACTCATACATACCAGCAGATCTATAAATTAAATTTACCAATCTATTGGAAATTTCAATAAACCTCATCGATCGGCCGCCACAAGTACATATCCGCTAGCGAACGAATGGTAAAACAGCTGAAAATCTATTACACGGCCGGGAAAAAGGGCGAAACCAGAATGGTTCAAGGCCATGATCAAAACGTAGATCGACTCGCGATCTAACGGAATCGAAAGGTTGATAAGCTTAACTAAAAACAGCGTAGCTTAGATCTAGAGATAAAGAGGGTGCGTATGAGCTCATGGAAATGAAATATGAAATGAAATGAGAAACGCCAAGGGTTATTTATTTAGGGCATGAGGTGATCAAACGGCTGGAAATGAGTTGTTCGGCGAACATTTCAACGGTTGGATACGCGTAAATATATTGTGGCGGTTGAGAGAATATTGTGTGAATTGTGATATTATGAGGTTGGGGAGAATTAATCGCACGGCTGTGATTAAGCCCCTGTGGTTGTGGTGGTGGTAGGTTTGGGATAAGAAGTGAAACGTAAACGGTTCAACGTGTTCATCATGATATATATGTAAGAAATTCTAACTTATTGCGTTCGATCGAATTCAAAGTAATTACATAACAAGTACAATATACTTGTTTGAGATTAAATGTAAATAACATGAAAATGACAAATCACTAAGCAGGTGCAATATACTTATTTCATGGTTGAATGAATTTGATCAAGCTAGATATGAACAAGAATTTTCCAATATATATCAAAATATACTAGTCTAATATTATGAATTGATTAAAAAAATATAATGTGATTTAAATGATGCATATTGTTAGAATTAATTTATAAAAATATATATATATTTTTAGAATTAAAAACAATTGATATTTATATTCAAATTAAATATACCTCAAATCTACAAAAGACGATTTAACACATGTACCTATTTTTCTATATAAAAGACATTGATTTGACACATATCATTTATTTTTTCCTTGCAAACTCAACATTCAAATTCAATTCAAATGGAATTTCAAAAGTTTCAAGCGAAATTGAGCTGAAACCTAACTAAATAGACCCTAATTAACCAAACAAACGTCATTTAATTATTGATAGAGTTTTATATTTCTTCCTTTTTTTTTTTTTTTTTATAACCCAGATGTCAAAGCTTACACCAGACTAATCCTGGACCCTCAGAACCCTTGCCTTAGAACCCTGAAGGATGTAAATCGCGGGATGTGCCTCCGGGATCCCACCATACTGATGTACACTCTACGGACAAAGGGATTTTGACCACAAATGACCCTCAGACAGAATCATGATAATGCTTCCATCCAAGTTCCAAATGGGATTCGAACCTCCACCCTTGCCGCTGGAGCAAGCCTTATGAATTGTTGGTCAGCCAGTTGGAGAAATGCCCCGGGGGCTATTTCTTCCTTTATTCTTCTAGGAAAG